GGCTGACGGTGTGATCCGTCCGTTCGTCGCACGGTGGTCGTCGGCGTTCCTTCCGGTGATCGACGGCGCCACTTAATTTGCGATATGACCATACACTACGTGAAATTTTCAATATCACTCCGTTCCTGGTAAAAATACTCCCGTAAAGTTTTTACCCTAACCCAACCTTAACCCTACCCTAACCCTAACCCTAGCTCTAATTTAATTTTTATTTATGATTTTGCTATAGTTTGCTATTGGATGCACCGTGTGCACTCTGCACAAAATATAAATTCTCATTTTATTAAACGTATAATTTACAATAGTAGGTAATACTGCTATTTTAAAAACAGATTGACGTAAAAAAAAAAAAAAAAAAAAAGTGCTTGTTTACGGAAAGATACAGCAATGCGATTTAATTTTCAGAATTACAATCGATACTGTCTAATTACATGCCATCGTCAGACTTTTTTTATGCATATAGACAGTATATGCATTTAAGCCATAAGAACAATTTTGGTGTTAATAATTAAAAGTCAATTTTATGCACTTAGAGGGTATATGCAATTAGACAGTATCGACCGTACAATGGTAAGGAAACTTAATACCTCTCGTCTCCGAAGAATAAATTATTGGTTTTGTTCTAACGTGAAAATTCGAAATTTATATATTAATTAACCTGACGACAATTCGTATATATATTCTATTCATCGAAAAATGATAATATATTTTGGAATCGTTGCCTAATTTAGACGCAATAAGATCGTTATATTAAAACAGTGATAACATATGAATAGCAACTAATAAAATAATTTATGGTGTGCATACCACATCACGATCAACCGTTATTATTGAACCACCAAATACAGAGGCAACATCAACGACAAACATGGCGTTCGCATTGGAATTAAATAAATAGCTACACTTATTGCAATAGGAAAATGATGTGCTTGAACTATTGGCAAACCACATTTCTTATAAAGAGGATGAATGTATTAATTTTAAACTAAGTAATGCAATATGCGAAAAGTTTAAGAAATTACTTACTGCGATGATTGTAGTACTTTGAATAAATTATTCTGTTACCTTCTTGCGCGATTCCACATACTCCACATCCTTTCTTACAAAACTTAGCTTGTGGATTTTCGATAAATCGTTGAGGATCGCAAAGAGATTTTGTTCCATGGAACATCCTATGTGTGCGATTAAGAAAGTTCTGGCTTTTATATGTTTCATGAGCTTTAACAAGCTCAGCTGGCATTTTCAGCTTTAGTATTCCAAGAATAGTGCGATTTGGAAGCCCCTGGTGAAAATATTCCTTGACGGAAAGATATTCTAAGTTGTAAATTGACAATACCGTCATTTCAGTCTCCTTAATTTCAGAGTCGGTCTCTTTAATTTCAGAGTCAGTCTCTGAGGTTTTTTGTGAATAGATCTATTTTGTTTTAACGTTAAATATTGACTCATATTTAAACTTGCCATTTATTTGCTCATTGAAAGTTTTGTTTACCAGTTTTCCCACAAAATAAGCAATCAAAATTAAAGTAAATACTGATCCTGAAATGTATTTAAGATTATAAAATAAATTATTTAAACTTTAAACAAATATTGTGAAGTCTAAAAAATTTATACCAATAATTTCCTTGGTGATTTCTTGTATTTTGAAATTGACTTTATAGGTAAGATAGGCTCTAAGACGGCAGAAAAGAAAAAGTTTTGGATACTTTGAGATAATATAGATGTTAGTTTTATGACCACATCTAAAAAAATAAATAAATTGCAAATTAATAAAATCATAGATAATATTACGAGTTAAAAATGCATAAGTTCGAAATTCACTCTTTTTTATAGATAACTTCAACGTCATTATCAGATTTCAAGTGTTCCAACACAATACGAGTGAGTAATTCAAAATCTTGGTCTGTATCCTGAAATGATTATCGAAAAAAAGCAAGCTATTAGTTACATTGACCATTAGTGTCATTCACAAACACGTTAAATAATTAAAAAAGTTACTATATTTACAAATTTCCGATTACGAAGTTGAATAAGAAGTTTCTGAAATGATAAATTTTTGCGATGACCAGTTTCGCATTCAATTCTTCCAGCTTCTTTGGCGGCAATATTTTTAAGCAGCTCAGTATACTTTTTAACCCTTCGCGCAAGACTATGGTCAAGTATACATCTACTGGTGAAAGATTTGAGCCAGGGAATTGAAGATGAGACTAATACGAAACCTTTATCACACGAGATAATCTTATCATTTGAGCAATGTGCATTAGATGGACAAGGAATCCAATTAGTCTAGAAAAAAAAAATTTGTAATGTTAAATTAATATATGCAGTAAATTTTTTTAAGATTATGCATCATAGAATCTTACTTTTTGTACTCTTTCGTAACTGGTAGAAACATTCGAAAACTCGTCATTATATATGATTGCAAATCCAAATGAAAATAACATTGCAAAAATTACAACATGAATAATTGACCATCTACGTGTCAATAAATGAATTGACTAGATCATACAATGGAAACGTTTGAATTCAATTATTATAAAAGAATTTAAAATTTAAGATAAAATTTAAGAAATCTTTTGATACATGTGAACGTAATGAATCGTTTTTTATTTTTGAAGCTCGAGTTTTCTTTTCTAGTAAAGATGGTATAAGTGGTCGAACATGTTTATTGAATATTCTTATTAGATCCGCCTTCTTTTCTCCACCGGTGTAAAGTACATTATGAGCATCTAATATTTCACGCAGCTGCGCGATGGTAACTTTTTGGGGATCAAACTTTGGATTCATGTAATAATCATCATATGAACCCATCGTAAAATGCTGTTTTTGAAACCTTGTTAAGAAAATTATAGAAAAGTACTTGTTATTAAAAATTTCCTACATGAATAATTGTTTAGAAATTATTTCACACCTTCGACGGAAACGAGAGTTTTATATTGATGAACAAAAGATGTTTCCAAAAGAATTATTTGTAACCTTGTAAAATGTAACCACGTAGTAAACATGAATAAACATGATTAATCGGAAATATTGTATGACATTCCGATTAAATGCAACTAAAAAAAAAATACAAGATACAGCAGGCCCTTACGAAAATTCATGACTTACAAGTATTTTTATAATTATTACGCAGAAATTACCTTCATAACTTTGGGTGGCATCATTTAATAGGACCAAAAACGATGTCGAATCGAAAAGGTGAGAATAAAGTCAAAAAATAGACTGGACATCATTTTTAAAATCATTATTTTTTTGCTTAAACTATTTTGGTAATCCTAAATAACCTTAGCTGATTGGATCTTTATCATGAATATGACTTTCCGATGCTAAAATTTTTAGTATCGAACTGTAAATATATACTATGTTAATTATATGCATTTATAATGTTTGAGGTGATTAGTCATTTAGAACTGGTCATTTTAACGAAATGACTTCATTTTTGACTATATTCGATTCTGAACCTAGGTAGGAGTTGTTAATTTGAATTATCATTGAGCACTCCAAACCAGACTAGAGCGAATTATAAAATGTATTAAATAGAATATTCAAACCAGTTGTTAAACTGGAGTACTATATTAGATCTTATTCTAAACTGGCTTGGCAAACAAAAAAAACTTGATACTTATATTCTGCGCCTGAATTCGCTTTTAGCACGTGATTATGCTCTATATGAAATCTGAATTCGAAATCCACTTACAGCTATTCTCATATTTAAAAAATTTGTTAATCATTCAAAGTCACCGGTTTTGATCTGTAAATAATCCAACTTTCGGAAATTACATCTATCTCCGGTTCGAAATTCGATAATTATAGTTAGCCATCATATTTCGTAAAGTTTTAACCACCAAAGAATTTTTTTTGATTATAGACTTAACAACAAAAATTGCCACTTGTTAGACATAGATCATGCCAACATCAGCCGTTTACATTATCCTCACAACAGTGTTGGTAATTTCCTGCAGCCAACCAATTTTTTTTGGCCTTTGTCCGGCCGAAATAGGCAACAGCCAATGGAGTAGCCAAACTTCAGCCGAATAGCTTATATAACATTAACCAATCATCTTGTTAGATTTTCTATATAATATTTGGACATTTCAGCCAAATAAGTTTTATGGACCAAGTTGGCCATTGGCCGGCCAAATGGCCAAGTGACAACACAGCTCACAAAAGTTTTAAAATATATCATCTACTATACAAAACGGAACATTTACTTATTTTAAACTACAGAAAAATACCATCGACCCCGCTGCAGTATAAATAAAGTTATGTCACTAGGGACAACTAAACATTAAGACATTAAGTTTATCATAATAAATTGTTAGCGATCAAGTAAAAATAATACGATTTACTGCTATAATTAGTACATACTGTAAGAAATTGAAAAGAAATTTGGGTCTATTATACAAAAAGTATCAAGTATTAGATATTCATTTTGTTGCATCTCCATTAGACTTATTAACAAAAAAGTGATAAATTATTTTTCTATTGTTTTTATTTACATTACAAAAAAGACGTTTGTGATCACTATTGTTTAAATACGTACGTGTGTACATAAGATTTTTCAAAGGGCTGAACCAAGAATAACGATATTAAAGTTAAAATACCCAATGTTTGGCTTTTCTTTGGTGGTACTCATATAGATATAGTTTGATCAACGGTTTTTATATTTTTATAATTTTCATAGATTTAATGGTTAAACTTCATTTCTATGTCTAGTAACAATAGCAATTGCCTTATTAACGAGAAACAACGCCCACCCTGCGCATTATTTGGGGTACTCCATGTGCATTAATTCTAAAGTAAGGTCGATTTTCTCAACCTAACTTTTTTAATATGACGCGCATGTGCGCCTCGCATAGTGTGACATAACCTACCAAAATAATTCAATTTATCATAATCATCATTATATTGCGAATCCCAGCATTACCTAGAGAATGTATGCGTCGAGAAAATTTCTAGTCATTATTAAAAGTGTCTGCCCAAGTACAACCTTTAACATAACCACATAGCCACATAACCACCCTGATCAATTACGTATGGAGTTAAAATTTAGATGTTGCTGAAACTTAATAACTTTGATAATTATTATTAACTGACATAATAATTTAATTGATTATTAGCAGTTTGTTTTTGACATTTTATTAACAATAGCAAAAGAATATACAAAGAAATTTTTTTGCGTTACTTTAACCATAGAAATTGTAACAAAGAACAGTATATAATTTTTAATAGTTGCCTTGGTTTTGTTCAATATTATAGGGCAACTCGCATTTACATTTTTTTTTTTTATATTGTGAATATCGACATCAAGTGATTTATGATAGAGGCATACTCGTGAAACTCATAAATAGTGCATTATTATTTCGCGCTATAGAATTTGGTCAACATGCAGTACAGTATGGGATAGGGTCGCATAACAAGCCGCAGGGTGTCCTGTGAGCAGGATTTTTTGGGCATCGGACTTTTTTTCTTTTCTTTGTTCTCTTTTTTGGGGCGTGGTGGCGTTGCGCAGGCGGAATTTTTCGGTAAGTCGGAATGTTTCGGAATTTACCAATTCTAGCTTTACTTATTTGCGCGAATAACACAAACCAAAAAAGGAAATCGAATTTAGTAAATAAACCAAGTGTGTAAAGATATAAATTTAGGGTTAGGACGTTAACATTAGAGACTATAGCAATAGATTGTTGCTCGTTATATGTAAAATTTCGGTTTAATTAATGCATCAAGGTCGATTTAGACACTAGTTTTTGAGTAATTTCGCTTTTTCTTTTTTCGCACGTGTTCGGAATTCATGTCGGGCTGATCCGGAATAGTCAGAATTTGTGCTCTCTGATTGGCTATTTCCTTTTTAAGGGTTTGTATTACTCGCGCGTCCCAATTCTGGCCCGCATTAGCATAAAACTACCATAATGCAGGCCTGTGCAGGCTGCGCAGCCTGTAGTGTTCCGCAGATTCGATCCGATATCCGATATCCGACCTATCGGACCGAAGATCCGACGAATCCGGATCTATATAGGGATCCGATTCGATACCCGAATTGGATCCGCTAGAATATGTAATATTCACTTATTGGTCGTTAATAATATATGCTGATTGGATAATCATTTATATAAGCGTGCAGTAATTTCTAAGTGAAAAAAAAGCGTAAAGGTTATTTTGTTCTCAATGTTACTGTCAGGTTATGATTGGTCACACATGAATTTGCGGTCTCATGGGACCTCTTTGAAAATAGTACAGTCTGGGAATATACCAAATTTGGTCATCGATGATCTTACCTTATTTGGTAAATGATCATCAGTCGGATG